CACACTCAGCTGCAGGCCCTCCTAGGCCAAGACATACTCAGCCGCAGTCCATCTCGGTGGTAGCAACTCCCAGAGTAGGTGCCCTCCTGGATGTGCTGCTGCAGGCTGGTAGCCCTGGGTGCCACAGGTGTGGAAGTGACCTGAGCGCTTAGCCTTGGGTCCTCTGCTGACGGGCACGTATGCTCAGGGCTCACATCCAGCGTGGGAAGGATGTAGTCCGGGCTCTCCATGTCATGTGCTTTGTGATGTTCAGGGGACACCAAACAAATCTCAGAGGGTTCTGTCTGATCGTGCCCTAGACGGCTTTCCTGGAACTGCAGGCCATCACCAGGGTCAAAGTAGGTGCCAGCCAATAGCAACAGTTCCCTGTCCCCCAGGATATCTGGTCTCTGCCTATGGAGATGGCCCACCTCCTCATCAGAGCCCACCACCACAGGAGAGGGTGTCTCACTGAGTTCAGGTGTGGCACAGGAGCAGCTGGACGAAGCTCGTTCTGCCAAGTCGCTGAGGAAGAGCTCCTTTAGGTTCCAGGAATAAGAATTCACATCAGCCTCCTGGGCCTCCTGGGCCTCCAACACCTCGAGGACACCAGGAAGGTCAGTGGCCAAGGCATAGCAGGCCGAGGAGCTGCCCAAGTGGCTGCTGTGAAGGTCTCTGCCTCCAAGATCGCAGAARGACATGGGGGCGGAGGGTGGGTGCTCTGCTGGGACCTGCTCATGGCAGGAGAGGCCCAGAGGCCCTGTGCAGCTCAGCTTAGACAGCCTCTCCTTTGTCAAGCAAGTCTGCAGCTCCTCTCGGTTGTCCTGTGCCCCCAGCCAAGGCTCATCCAGAGTGGGTGTCCCCAAGGAGATACTTGCCCTCCCTGAGGGGCTGGGAGCCAGCTGCTGTAGGGCCCACTTGCTACTATAGAGAGGGCAGTGCATCAGGAGGCCCCCCGTTGCCAGCTGTCCTGCAGTTTGGGGCTGGAGTCTGGCAGGATCAGTCCAAGGGCTAGGGCTGAGGACACCAATCAGCTCCTGCTGGGCCTCCAGATGCAGGCCACTGTCCCTGTCCTCAGCAGGGCCTGGAGGCTCAGAACCCTCACACGAAGCCCAGGATTTTGTATCCACTGGTTCAGACCTGCTTTCTCCCAGGAGACCCTGCCTGGGGTCCTCTGTTGCTGCAGGCTCCTCCTTCCCCAAGGCAGCAGGTTCCTGGTCTGTGGACGGTGACTGGTCATCCTGGGCTGGTGGGCTCCCTTCTGGGGCATCTTGCTGGTCCTGGAGCAACGAAGACTCACCACTGGTCACAGAGCTTTCTTCTGAGGTACTCTGCTGGTTCTCAGGCGGTGACTGTTCCCCATGGGCTGGAGGGCTTCCCTCGGGGACACTTTGTTGGTCCACAGACGACGACTGTTCCCCATGGGCTGGAGGGCTTCCCTCGGGNCCATGGGCTGGAGGGCTTCCCTCGGGGACACTTTGTTGGTCCACAGACGACGACTGTTCCCCATGGGCTGGAGGGCTTCCCTCGGGGACACTTTGCTGGTCCATAGATGACAACTGTTCCCCATGGGCTAGAGGGCTTCCCTCGAGGACACTTTGTTGGTCCACAGATGACAACTGTTCCCCATGGGCTAGAGGGCTTCCCTCGGGGACACTTTGCTGGTCCATAGATGACAACTGTTCCCCATGGGCTGGTGGGCTTCCCTCAGTGACATTTTGCTGATCCATAGGTGACGACTGTTCCCCATGGGCTGGAGGGCTTCCCTCAGTGACACTTTGCTGGTCCATAGGTGACAACTGTTCCCCATGGGCTAGAGGGCTTCCCTCAGTGACACTTTGCTGGTCCATAGGTGACAACTGTTCCCCATAGGCTAGAGGGCTTCCCTCAGTGACACTTTGCTGGTCCATAGGTGACAACTGTTCCCCATAGGCTGAAGGATTTTCCTTGGGGACACTTTGCTGGTCCCTGGGTGACAAATGTTCCCTGTGAGCTGGCGGGCTTCCTTCAGAGACACTTTGCTGGTCCCTGGGTGACAACTGTTTCCTGTGGGCTGGAGGGCTTCCCTCAGGGACACTTTGCTGGTCCCTGGGTGACAACTGTTCCCTGTGGGCTGGAGGGCTTCCCTCAGGGACACTTTGCTGGTCCCTGGGTGACAACTGTTCCCTATGGGCTGGAGGGCTTCCCTCAGGGACACTTTGCTGGWYCGTGGATGATGACTGTTCTCCGTGGGCGGGTGGGCTTCCCTCAGGGACACTGTCTACCCTGGAAATAGGAATTCAGATGTCAGTCATTAGCAGTCACAGAAAAGGAGACAGGAGGAACCATTCTGTTAAAACACAAAGCATTTAACACCATAAAATTTACAACAAAAAAGACTAAATTTTGCAACCAAGTCAATACATAAAGCACCTRCTCTCCAATATTGTCCAAATCCTCATTTAGCAAGTCTTTATCAAAGATGGTACTGAGACTGCCACAGTGCAGAGACCCAGGCCCAGTGCTCAGCTCAGCCTGCTGCCAGTGTGCAGCTCACTCTGCCACACTGAAGGCACACCACCCCAGCAGCTCCCCTGAGGCCGGAAGTGAGGGGCCTGACTGGCTAGGTTGGCCACCACCCTCACAGTCACGTGGGGAGATGGGCAGGCCAGCCAACAGGCTGAAGGAGCAGGTGGGGGTGAGGACAAACAGAAACTCCCCCAAGTGCCTCCAGCAAGTGGTGAGCAGGGAGGAGGCTACGACAGTTGACACAGTGCCCCCAGGGCACAGGCCCGCACCACAAACTGTACCCTGTGCCTGGCCACACCAGCCAGGCCTGACACTGAGCAGCAGGTATGCCAAACAAGTGCACATCCTACAGGGCACAGAGGCAGATTCACACCTGCAACCCAGCAAGAAGGCAGCAGTGATCCCCACTGAGCGAGGCCAGGGCCAGCACAAGGACAGGACTGCAGAGGAGGGCACTGTAAGCAGGGTCTGAGAAGCAGAGCTGTCCTGTGGGAGTGGGCGGTGTCTGCAGAGGTATCCACCCATCCCCACTCCCACCCTCTCTGGAGGAGTGCCAGCTGCTGCGTCACGAAGTCCAAGTGACACTGCACGCCCAGAGATGAGCCTCGTGTGGCTCAGGGGACCATGCATCCTTCTCCAGGGCCAGCAGAGGGGGGTCCACACCCAGGAATCTGGGCAGCCTCTGGATGTGGTGTTCCATGGTCAGGACACGCGGCCTTGACCTCAGGGCAGCTCTGCACTTTCACTCACCCCCTGAGGATCTCGGAGGTGCTAACCACCGGAGGCCCCCAGTGTCCATTTTCCTCTCTTTGATCACCCCATCCACAGCCCTCCCACCTTAAACCCCTGGGCCAGATGTGCTCTTGGACTTCAGAAAGATCATCAGTCACTTGAAGGAACTCCACAGGACGAACACAGCATGAGGCCTCTACCTACCCCACTGTGGGGTAGCAGGAAACACCAATGGCTGTCCAGCAGCTCAGGGGGGTTTAATCATCMAACATGCTCCAGCATCAAATCTAGGGAAAAATTTCCATGTTGGGGACTTTTTAGATTTCAAGATGTGGGTTAAGGCTGTGAGCCTGCAGAGTCTCTACGTGTTCGCATGACCACAGAATGGCCTTCCCCAGCTCCCCTGGAGACCGCGCTCTGCCCTCTACTCAGCACGGGAGCAAGGGGTGTGGCTGCCACGTGACATCGGGGAGTAGGGCACCTCCACTCCCACCTCCCAGAGTCCACACAGCGTCAGGAGCTGCTGGGACCTGCACCCAGGTCACCCCAGGGATCATAGGCCCCAAAGCAGGGACACCAAGACTGGCCCCGTGGAGACCCCTGAACCAATGTCACTTCATGTGGAGTCCTTTTGAGCCTCTGCCTCTCAGAAGAACCCACTCAGCATGAGCGTCAATTCACTAGAACAGCTGAGCCTGAGCGGGAATGCCGGGGCCAGAGGCGGCGGCGGAGGAAGCCCTACAGAACCCCAGAACACGTGCCCCCTCCTCCTTCTGCACTTCCCACTTGGACTTCGTGACGCAGCACCTTGCATTCCTAATTAGACCACAATGTCACAGAGAAGCCTCGACTCTCCACCCGTTATCTGTTGAACAAGTGAGCGGGAGACTGAATGGCAGGTGACGCACTACTCCGTGCTGCAGGTGGGAGGGGGGCCAGCCGAGCTGCAGAACCTGGGCTGGGAGCAGCTCCGCGGCACAACCTTGGCCTTGTGTGAGCCAGGCATGGTTCCATCCTCAGCACCACCAACGACAACTGCACAAACCCCTAGGGTCTAAAACTGTCCCACCTAAAAGAAAATGTAAGACTTAGCCAATGCAGTGCAGCTTCCTCATTGAACAACACGAGCCTAGAAGAGGCACTCTGCCCTGATCCTGAGGAGAGCGGCTGGCGAGTGACCCCACTGGACACCCGATTCCAGGAATGATGCGCTCACTGGCAGCTGGCATGAGCAAGCAGCCCAGCCAGGCCGGGGCACTTGACAAGCATCAGCCACTCATGCCAGCTCCCAGCTCCCCTCATCTGCAGAGGAGCACAGAGAAAGAAGAGCCATTGGGTACACTTCTCATGCTTGCACCCTACTCACAGCCAGGAGGGAGCCAGGGGGACAAASAGCAGGGAAGGAACAACAGGTGCTGTTGGGGGTCTTGCTGGGAAGAGGTGCTGCCGGGGAAGAGGTCAGCAGGCACAGGCACACCAGCCAGGACAACATGCAGCAATCCTGTCCTGATAGACAAAAGCAAGGCACAAGGGTACACAGTACACACCACACACACACACACACACACACACACACACACACACTCACACATCCATGCTGACTCGCATAGGACGGAGGGTCTGGAGGGTTGGAGCTGCTGACCAGTGTCCTCAGAGTGGGAGGAGGCAGGTCTGGAGAGGGCCAAGGGGAGTCCACCTGTCACTTCTGCTCTGTACTTGAAACACACTCATGTACTCCTTTAAAATGAGTCCAGGAAGGCTGCAAAGACCCGGTGGTGTGGATCCATCTCAGAGCCACAACAACAAACTAAAGAAGGCAGGCCCAAGGACAAAGGGGACAGCTCAGGCCCCAGGACAGCAACTCTGACGTATGCTCCAACGCATGGTGGTAAGGGTGCAGAGCAGGAGATCCGGGGGCAGAAAAGACCATGGATCTGCTCTCCATGTGCACACCTGAGGCTCAGGCATGCTCCTGAACACTGTGCGTAAAATAGGATTTTAAGCCGGACATGTGACACATACCCTTAATCCCAGCCACCTGGCAACTAGGAAGGACGAGGACCCCTAGTATGAGGACAGTCTGTACAACTTAACAAGGCCATCAAGATAAAAATAAATTTAAAAAATTAGGAATGTAGCCCAGGGCTAGAATACCCCAGCTTCATTTTACTTGTGTATATATATATTAGTTATATTCGATAATACATATATATATTTTTAATGAAGAAAACTAGCTAAAAACACCAAAATACTGAGCACAATAGGACTGAGAAACAGAATCAGTGAGCTTTTGTTCCTGTTTTCCCAAGTCATCTAACATAAACGTCCTTCACTCCATGTGGGATACTTTATTTAAAAACATGCAAAGAAAACAGCTTCATACGATTTCCACAATGCCCAGGCCAGGCCAGCTTCAGCCCTCATGAGTCTACCTAAATGCCCCTGACCTCCGACAGCCACGGGATGAGATGGCATTGTGGGCACCCTGTCCCACGGCAGAACACCCAGTTCCTGGGAGGAACACGTCACCATTCAGACAGGGCAGGTGCTGGGTTTGTGGGAGCCARGTGCATCACCGAACTGCACCCCCCACCCTGAGAGCAGCTCCTCCACCAGCCTCCACTTCCCACCAGCACTCACCCCAGCGAGGGCTCCAACGAGGAGGAAGGGAGCCAGGCTCCTACGTCCTGCTGTGTCTGAGCAGGGGAGATGTCTTGGCTTCTTGCCAKCTTCAGGGTCTCATCTTGTGGCAGCAGGCAGTCTCTGGCACGTACCACGTTCACCTTCAGATCTGAGAGCAGAATCGGGAAGRCTTGCACCCTACTCACAGCGCTGGCTGCCTGAGCTGCTGGCACCCGGCGTCCCAGGGGAGCACCACCCACCAGGGCCATGGCCCAGCACGATGCGCACAACGCACCCTGCTCGTACCTGACACTCGCCTCCTGTCCCCAGTGCTGCTTCCCACTAGAGAGCAGAGACCCCACCCAGCACCCCCCCACGACGTCACCTGGATCCTCAAACCCCATCAGGGCCCAGGGACTCCAGAACCACACCTGAGGGGTCGAGGGCAGAGCGTGACCAAGGGTGCCAGTGCCCCTGTCACAGGCCCCACACCCTGCCAGTGTCCTGAGCCAGAGCAGGCTGCTCGGCACAGGAGGCTGGGAGCTCCGCCCCAGAGACCAGCAGGCCGAGACTGTCCCCACACGGGGCTCAGGAATACTGTTGACATGTTTAAAGTGCCAAGTAAAAACCAAAGGGGTAAACATTACAAAATCCACAAACGTGCTAGCAATATCTAACTTAGAAATAAACAGGACAGCTCATCCACTCCATCTTGGGAGTCCCCTCCCAGACGCCAAGACGGTGGCTGAGACTCGAGAGGGCACGACTCAGGGCTTCTTGAAGACCTCTCCTTCCGCTCCTCGCTGCCAATACGTTTGTAGGAGTAGCCCCCACACCCTGCCCTCCCCTGGCGAACGGAAGGCCTGAGAGAGACACAAACACTGAAACAGGACTGGTGCCCCTCACTCAGGCCCCAGCCACGACCCTCAGCCCGTGGAGGCGGCTGCCCCTCCCATCTCTGGTGGGAGGCATGGGCCTTGGTGGGGCTGGGCCGCCAGGGGCACAGTGGGGACAGGAAGGCCATGTCTCACCCTGGGCTCCACTGCCTGGGTCCCAGCTCATCTGGCCAGGCCTGCTCTCACTGTGGATGTCCAGGCAGYCGGCCAGGTCTGGCAGCGGTGAGGAACTGTCACAGGCAAGGTCCATGTAGTGGTAGAAACCAGGAATCAGGAAAGTGATATTCTGGGAGGCAAAAAGGACAGTTCAAGACCTGGGGGACTCATTATGCCCCCTCCTGGACACATCCTGCTGGGGCTGAAATGAAAACAACTGGCAAAAAAGTTARACCAACGGAGCAAGTCTCTGGACCGTTCCTCCTAAGGTCAGGAAAGACACTGGGGTCAAATTTCCAGACATGAACCAGTCGGAAGCCACTGCAGTTGTGACCCAAACCTGGTCCAATCAGCCAGACCAGATCCCACTGGGAACAGCACTCCTCTCCCTCCCCGGGGCGACTCTGGAATCAGCCAAGGGAAATGACCTGGTGGCCGTCAGCCAGGCTCCCCGCCTGGGCCTGCGGTGCTTCCTGGGTGAATCTGTGGGCCACCACCCCCATACACAAGGGCCAGCCTCCCAAGTGGGTGGAAAGCCCGCAGCCCCGACAAGCCCACCTTGCCCAGGAGCTCTGTCCGTCCATAACCAAACAGCGTCAGCGCAAAGCTGTGGTTGATGCCATAGATGGTGCCATCCGGCAGAAGGGTCACAAGCCCACTGATGGTGCAGAACACCCAGACTGATGCCCAGTAGTCCAGCTCGGGGGCCTCCTTGCTGCTGGCCACCTCCTGGCCACTGGGCTTGGCCTTCAGCTTTAGGCTCAGAGGGAAGGTRGTGCCGTCCCTGGCTCTGCCAACAGACCTCTGGATCTTGAGACTCTACRAGAGAAGTGCCAGGCTCAGCAGGGCAGCTGGGCTGGGGGGCTGAGCAGACCTCCTCTGCCGTGAGACCCCCTCAGGAAGCACAGGAGCACCTCACACCCACACCTGCTGTCCCCCAGCCCCACCCCGCCTGGGGAATGACAGCAGGGGACACCAAGGACTCAAGAGTGGCCTGGGTATTCGAGAAAAGCCTAGTGAGCTAACCAAGACCAGGGCAAGTGAGGGACCAGGGCTCCGGCTGTCCAGGGTGGGCAGCTGTGCCACCCGCACTCTGGGCACTGCCCTCAGGTCTGTGTGGAGGAAGAGCTCGGAGTCCACTTGGACTGGGGGCCCCTGCTTCCTGCTGTCACTGACTCCCCATTACCTTCTCGGCTCCTCCCTCTGCCACACCACCAAGTGCACRTACCACACTCCCCCTGCACATCACTGTCCCACCACGTCCCTACTAGGACTCCCCACCAGACACTTCAGAGGCCACTAGAGAGTGAACCAAAGAGCACTTTACCACTGAGCTACACTCCAGATCTTTATAATGATTTTTTCTTTGGAGACAGGGTCTCACTAAGTTGCTGAGGCTGGCCTCCAACTTGCCTCCTGCTTCTGCCTCCCGAGTCGCTGGGATCACCATGCCCAGAGAGTCCTGTCTCTTGACTAACACAGTGTTCCCAGCCAAACACTTCAGAGTCTTCAGGGGCTTCGGAGTGGTAAGGTAGACCCAAGCCTTGGCCCCCACCCTGTTTAAGGGCCCACCCTTCAAGACTGGAAACCTGTAGCTGCCAGGCCGCAGACGGGCAGCACAGCGCCCTGACCCAAGCCAGAGGCAGGCCCAGGCCCCAGTGAGCCCTGCGAGGAACAAGGGTACAGGTCCCTCTTTGTTGGCTCCCAGCATGTCCCTGTCTACTCCTGAGGGACATGGTAGCCCACTTGGGGCTGAGAACACACTCACTTGTGCTTTCTGCCATGCATTACCAGGGTGTGTCTCTGGGGGAGAGGGCTGTGAGCAGGTGCTGCCAGGCAGTGCCCAGGGCAGACAAGTGGACAGCCCTGCCAGCCGTGAAGCCCACGTGGCCAATGCTCAGAGCACAGGAGGTGGGGACAAGGGCTCCTCCTAGAAGCTGGAGAATCTGATGTAGCAAAAGAGGCTCAGGGGCTGAGTCTAGAGAGCTACACCCAGGGAACACTCCCAATGACTCTCGTGTCGCCAGGGAGACCAATAGAGCAGTCAGTCCCCACCTGAGGAAGACAGAAGTGACCTTGGGACCAGTCCCCGGGGAAGGGCTGCACACTGGCTGAGCACTACACCATGCCCAGACCCCACCACCCACTCCCTGTGGGACACAGCCCTCCTGCCTTCAGGGCATGAGGGCCACCTGAGGTGTGGACTTGCCTGGACAAGCAACACCCAGAGCTGAGCAGCACGGCTTCTAGTGCCTGTGAAGGGGCTCCCAGGACCCGGGCATGTGCGCACACTGATGCCGAGACCCTGGCCGGGGCTTTGGACTTCAAAGCACTGCTCTCCTTCGTGTTCCCAGGTCCTCAGGCTTTCAAAAGTGTGACAAGTCCACACTCGGGTCAATTCCAGAGTCTTTAGCTGATAGATGGCGGGTCGTGGGATATGGCCTTGTGACCTCGAAAGGCAAGTCCCTAATAAATCCCCTCTGGTCTCTATCTACGTGCATCCCATTGGTCCAGGTGGAGAACTCTACTGATACCCTGGGAGCACGCTGCCCTCCCTGTGCCACACTGACAAGAGAACGGAGGAGACCACAGCGGTCAGCTGGGAGAACACACAGGCTTTGGCCCTTGGCCACACCTTGGAGCACAGAGAGCTGGAGGCTGTCCTGTGGTCAGGTTACGGATTCAGAACTTGACGCCCACCATGTGGCCCAGGTGGTCAGCATCCTACCTTTGGCACAGGCTGGCCAGGAGGAGGGAGCTGCACAGATGGAATGAGGTCTGTGAGATGCTGTCCAACCACATCCTCCCCCGAGGCAAACCCATGGAGATGAGCGAAGAGGCTGTCACAGGCCGTGATGGTTCCCTGGAGAAACACGGCACCCGTCAGGGTGGCAACAAGAGCCCTGTGCACCTGGGCTGGAAGCCGCCGGGACTCCAGGGCCTGTGCGCCAGAAGCGAGACCCTTCTCACGTGGGGCAGAAGTTCAAGAGGCACCCAGAGGGGCTTTCCCAAGAACACCTCCTCTCGGGCCAGATGGGCCTCAGCCTCTGACTTCCTCCCGTGCACTCTGGAAGCCCTGGCCTCAAGGAGAAGCTCTTTTTCATGACAATACACCCAGGTGCTGCCTGCCACCATCTCCTGAGTAGGTACAGCCCCTCCCCCCACCTCACAGGAGGACAACTGAGGCATGGGCACTGAGTTCCCTGCCCCAGGGCACACAGTGAGGGGTGCCACCGGCAGACCCCCAGACACCTTCATACTCTGCTCTTCCCGGCCAAGCCATGGAGAGCACTGGCTGAGGTGCGTGCAGGAGGCAGGACTGGGGTCCTGGGCCAAGGAATGGACACACTCACGTCACTCTGGAAGGCGACCCAGGCAGAGACCCTCTCCACAGGCTCCAGGACTACCACACAGCACAGGCCCCGCTCCTGCCGCACTCTCTTCATCCACACAGAGACGGGAACCTTCTCCCCACTGCGGCTGACGATGTCCACCTGCACACACAGACAGGCTGCACTGGGGACCCTGGCGGCAAGCACAGGAGAGGGCTGCCACCAGGAGCCACCCTCCCACACCCCACACCTCAGTGTGTCCAACTTCCCACGCCTACCTTCCATCTGGGAAACTCACCAAGGGTAAACGAAGGGTTTTGTTTGTTTTGGGGGCATGGAGGTGGAACCAAGAACACTTTACCACTGAGCACACACCTAGCCCTGTTTTTCATTTTGAGACAGGGTTTCTCTGCATGGCTGAGGCTGGCCTGGAACTTGTGATCCTCCTGTCCTCAGCCTCCTGAGTCGCTGGGATTACCAGTGTGCACCACCATGTCCAGCTGAACAAGCTTCTGACACTTAGGGTTGTGGTGTCTGAGTGAATCTTTTACTAAGATTCTTTTTTTAATCCTTAGGGTCATGGTTCATCTTGTCTAATTGACTAGATTAAGGGACACCTGCAGAGTGGTAAAGCACACTGCGACATGTCTACGAGGTGCTTCTGGTGGAGAAGATGCACTCTGAATGAGGGCAGCACCACCTGGCAGACTGCGGCGAGGACGGGAACCAAGGGGTTGGAGAAGGACCCTCACACACACACTCGGTCCTTCTTGGGTGGATACGTGTTTTGCTGCCATTGTCTGTGGACGTCAGACTGCAGGAGGTTCTTCAGCTTTTAACACAGACTTGAACCCACGACTCTGGGGTTCTGGGATTATCAGATCTGATTGGGCAGCATAGACGCCCATCTTGTTCTCAGGCTCCAGCTTCTCGGGCTCAGCACATACTGGTTTCCCAGCTCTCTGGCCTACAGAAGGACACTGTGCCACTCTCTGGTCTCAGATGATATAAGCAGCCTAATAAATGCCCATTATGATTAGATACATCCTATGGGTTCTATTCCTCTGGAAAAATCTGACCAATACACTCAACTCCATGGTAAAACAGCAGGAAAAAAGATCAGCACCTACAATTTCCCTCTATAGCAGCAGGCCTCTTAAACCAGGAACCTCCTGTTGCAGCTGACCCTCTCCAAGTCTCTTCCGTGCCTGGGGCTCAGTCCTCAGCATCTAACAGCTCAGCTCACCCATCAACATCCAAGTTGGCCCCAGAAGCACAGAGGAGAGACCAAAGCTCTCCAGGGAAGCTCTCCCAGTCACACCAACCAAACACACACCCAACAGAATACGTGGATTAGATGTAAGAACTGGTCCAGACAATGAAATCACACCCCTCTTCTGGGATTCTCACGTGGTGCCTGCAGGTTTGCCACATGCCAGCCACACTGCACCCCCCCATCACACCAAGATGGGCTCTCCAGGTCACCCGGTGCTAGTCCTGAGTCCCCATGCCCAACCAGCCAAAGACGGAAACAGAACCCAGGGCCGTGTTTTCAGTTGAAGATGCTACAGTCGCTGCTACGAGGGCCCCACGGCAGAAGGCAGCTCAAAGACAGAGTCCAGGCAGGGAAACCAGGGCTCTCCTGCCACGTGCTGCTCGTGCCTTGAGGCCTGGGTGCTGCACCCCGCTCACCACTGTGCTGAACACTACGGCGGCGTGGCCGTCCGCCTCCACATGCTCCTGGCTGAGGGCTTCCACCACAGCGGAGTCCGACTTCAGGAAGAACTGTGCCAGCTTTTGGCCAATCAGGTCCTGGCTGCTGTACCCCAGGAGACTGCAAGCTTTGTCATTAGCAACCAGGATCTGAGGAGGAGCAGAGAGAAGACAGAGACATCACCAGCAGCCCCTCTAATTCCCAGAAGCAGAGTCGAGGACAACACAAAGTTGGTATGGCAGCCCAGGGGCTTGTCCTCCCCCAGCAGGGCCCATCATCATCATTCACATCCCATCAGAGGTGAAGACAACACCCACACAGGCACCCAGAGGGCTCGACCTCACAGACACAAAACCTGGCCAGTGCCAAGGGCAACCAGGACCCCTGAACCAGGCAAAATAGCACATGGCAATCAAGACCCTAGGAAATATGGGCATTTCCAGCAAGCTCTGATCCAGGCTAGCAATTCCTATAGGTGCATTTCACACAGATGGTGCCACTGTACTGAACATGAAGACCCATTCTCCCATAGTTGTGCCCACATGTACAAACACACAGTGCACCTGAGCCTTTCCCAGCATCTGTCCTGAGAAGAGAATCCAATTTGTTCTAATTGATTATACTGAGTTCTCCAACTTCTCATCTTTTGCTACAACATAGCTAAAATCAAATGTTTTTCTAATTGCACTTGAAACACAAAAAACCGTTTAAGGTTCCAGGTACAAACCCCCAATCACATCCATGGCCTGGTCACAGACCAAAGCCAATACCTCTGTGGTCTTGGCATCCACAGTGAAGACAGCCTTGTTAGGGTTGCACACGGGGGCTGGGAACGGGGGTGCAGTGCCCCCGGCAGACAAGCCACGCAGCAGGGAGCAGCAGGACGCACTGCCTAGGGACCCAGCGGCATCCACGAGCTCAGGCGCCATAGGGCAGCGCAGCTTGCTCGTGCAGATGTTCTGGGCAGCGAGTGATGAGAGGCAGTAGGAGCTCCATCTGTCTTCTGAAGAAAGAATGAAAGGAAGTGTGAGACCTCACAGAGCTGCTGGGAGCTCCCTTCTAAAACAGAAAGAGCAGCAGCCCTCACAGGAGCCAGGGCTGACCCCCGCACTGGACCTAAACCAGTCCCAACGTCCMTCCAGACAAGCCTCAAGCACCCAGTTGGAAGGAAAGCACTGCCTGCTCAGAAGCACCAACAGCCTGAGCTCAACACTCGGCTCCAGTCACACTCCGAGGGCCAACACTCCCCCAAGGAGCCCAAGCACCTCTCCAGTGACAGTCACTCCCAGGCCCCACCGTCCTTCCAAAAGCTGTCACCCAGTTCAAGAGCTGCCTGCACCACACCTCCCCGTCCTCACACCGGCTCCCTCCCTGCTGCTCCAGAAGAGCTATGCTGCTGACCCCTCCCACAGCTCCCAAGGGACCTGGCCCAGCCTCTGTCCTCACCCCACCAGGAGACTCCTGCCTGCACCAGCCTTCCAGGCCAGGCCCCTCCCCTCCGGCACAGGAGCTCTTTCCCCTTCTACACTCCCCACCAAGAGTGCACAGCTTCTCAGTGCCATGGGCTCCCTCCTCACCTCCATTTTTGCAGGGGCTCAAGGCCAAACACACACAACCCGAGTCCCTGCTGCCTGCCCTTTGGACATCTCCTCCACGTCCCTCACCCAAGGTCCAGACTTCAGCACGTAGCCTCTCCCTGACCATCCCCCGCACCGGTGCCAGAGGGCCGCGCTCTTCCTCTCCTCTCCCAAGAAGCAGTTGCTTCTCAGGCCTTTGGCTCTCGCCCTGTTCCCTATGCAGCACTAGAAAGATCATCCTAGGGCCAGTCTATAGTGTCAGCGCCTTCTGAGAACCCGGCAAACCTCACAGCTGGCTCCCTGCACCACCTCTAGCCCCTCCTAGGACCACGTCCAGCAGCCTCAGGACCAAGGCAAACTTGGTTCCCACACCTGCTGCCCCATCAAGCTTACCCTTGGCCTCGAAGCTGAACCTTCTCCCTTCCTTACCACTGTGCTCTGGCTCCTGGTTGCATCTGCTRTCCCAAAAGACTTCCCTGATGTCCAGGGCCACGGCAACCCCCTGCAGACACCCTGCTGTCTCAAGACCCCACCATACGACTGCCTCTTACGGGCAGGCAGCACTTCCTTCTCGGCCACAGCCCATCAACAAGCGAGCTGTGGGGTGGGGGCCACAGCTGCCCTTGTCCTGTCCCTGTGATGTGAAACCCCAGGGCAGGGCCCTGTCTTCTGGGGCTCTAGGCCAGGTGGAAAGCCCCTTCTTCCCACTGAGCTAATCAGCAAGCTAATACTTTCCTTGGGATGTGGCCCAGTCTCAGACAGTACCCTGGTCCACTCCTAGTAAGAACTACACTTGGTTCTAATCTGGCCTTGAAACACAGAGTTTTCACATGGAGGAGATGTCCACTGTGTGCCTGAAGCTCCCAGGAGGAAGGCCAGAAGCAGCAGGAAAGTGCTTGGCCAGGCCTCGGCACGTGAGCTTTCCCACAGAACCACTTTACGTCACTGGCAACAGGCTTCCCGGGGGAAAGCGGTGACTCCACATTTCCAAGCTGCRGGGCTGATGCCCCTAATGATCAGAAAGGAAGTCCTTACCAGAAAGCGCTATTCTGCTCTGGCAGAGCTTAGAAAGCCCGTTCTTCCTGCTCAGGTGTCTGTGGGCTGAGGAGAATGGCTTGCTGGACCCAGAGGCAGCCTCTGCAGCTGGGCCCTCAGCGGGCACTGGCACAGGTAGGCTCCCAGACAGGCATCTCCGGTCATCATTGAAGGCCAGCAAGCCTCTGGCTTCCATGGTAGCAGGTGGGACAGGCACTAAGCTCCCTCCTCTACTAATTYTCACCTAGAAAACCAAGAGCATCTGATCATCATCAGCCACACAAGAATCCACGGCAGTCTAACTAGCAGACTGTGCCGTAGTTCAGCAGGTCCCACACACCCATCGCCGTCCCAGGTCAGGGCTGCGGAGCCAGTGCTGTCAGTGCAGAGCTGCACTAAAAGCAGCCCTTGTAGGAAGGGCTGGGAAAGCAGGAYGGAGCAAGAGGGAAGGGACCACAGGAAGGGCAGGAGCTGCCGTCCACACCAACAGAAAACGCTCCTCGGTCAAGAAGATCCCCAGGGTGGCCACAAGAAGAGCCACTGTACCACCTGCTGGCCCAGCTGCATCTAGAACCACCTGGGCACATCCCCAAAAGCCAGGCAAGAGTCTGCTTCCCTTGGGGGCAGGACTAGCACCAGAGGTTTGTGGTTTTGTTCTTTTGTACTTGTAGATTCCAATGCAGACATGGGGGAAAACACAGAAAGATTCCATGTGGCTGTCACTGAGCTTCCTCCCAGGACCACATTTTGTACACATTATGCCACACCAGGAAACGGACATGGCCACAGCACTCACTGCACTCACCAGCGCCTTCCATTCTGTGCAGTCTTGCCATGTGCAGTCATGTGACCAGCTCCCAAGGGAGACCCTGAACCGGCCAGCATGTGGAACACAAGCACACCTTCTCCAGTGCTCCAGTGCCACTAGGAAAAGCTCCTCTGCTCGGAGGAGGCACGGCCCCATTTGGGCACCCCCAGGTAGACAGAAAAGGCACACTGTGGTCAGTCCCAGGGCCACTGGTGGGAGTTCCCACAAAGTGGAAGGCCACAGGGCCAAGAACACCCAGAGCCTGTACTCCTCCTTACAGATCACCTTTTGCACGTCTGGAAGCCCAAAATTCCTGACCAAATGTCCTGGACCCCTCTTCCAAGGCCCACATGGCTCTGCACATGCCATACCCAGACCCAAGAATGGGCCGAGGAGTAGCATCACAAGACCAAGCCTGGACATGCAGGTGTGGTGTTCACACATGCTCACAAGCCCCTCCCAACACAGGACAGACCCACAGCAGGAGGAAAAGGGAACTGACCCTTCCGAAATCCCCACATTCCACCAAGGAATTCCAAGGAGCCCTGGTCCTCCAATTCTAACCTAGCTTTCAGGTCGTGATAAAGATGTATCTATCGAGACTGGAGGGGCACACCTACTGCAATTAACAGGTTTTGAGTCTGACAGTAATGATATACACTCATCACAACAGGGGGTCTCCACTGCAGTCACACCCCTGGTCCCTTGAGTCCAAGGGCCTGACCACTGCTCACCTCAGCTGTCAGCTCCTGAGATCAGCAAAAGGGAAATGGAAAAAAAAATGAACAACCCCACCCAGACCACTTGTGGGAGGGTGGTGACATCAAAACATGCCACCAAGCAATACAAGTTAAACATGCAGGGCTGGGGATGTGGCTCAAGCGGTAGCGCACTCGCCTGGCATGCGTGCGGCCCGGGTTCGATCCTCAGCACCATATACAAACAAACATGTTGTGTCCGCCAAAAACTAAAAACTAAATATTAAAATTCTCTCTCTCTCTCTTAAAAAAAAAAAAAATTAAACATGCAAACAGGACCATCAATTCCAGGAGACAGGCCACCAGAGCCCAGGAGCCTGGCACACAGCAGAGGGCCCATCTTCATTCTCAGGAATTGATGGGGTACTCACCAGCACAATGTTCCAAGGATGGCTTCCTTGGGTAAAATGCAGGTAATGGTGACTCAAATGGTAGCACCCTCGGGAAAACTCAAAAAGTTAAGTTGGGACTGGCAGGTTGGTGCCTAATAATTGTGATCTGCTTATTTTAAATGGAGTTAAACAGTTTGAGGTAGAATTGCATCCCTCTGACTTCCCATGTACAAACAAACCCAAGAAAAATCAGGAGCGAGAGCATGAAGAGCCGTACGACTCAGCAACACTGCATTCTGTAACAGGAGCGTGGCTTCTGTGCACCTCTGAGACGCAGGAGAAAGGAGGCACTTCAAAATATAAAAGAATACCTAAGACCTGAAAACAGGGCAGTTGAGAGCAAACCATCCTGAGGAGCCACTCCCAAGCCGTGAGATGCCAGGGACCCGGGGAGACAGTGCCCAACACTGAGCTCAGCATCACTCTAGGTTCTGGCAAAAGCCATCTTCTCAGGAGCCAAGCATCCTGGAATCACTGAGAAAAACTGAGACAACCCAACCAAGGAAAACCTGACTGGAGAGAGAATGGAGAAAAGCAAATATTGGAAGAGATAATTACACATGAAAAAGAAAATGTACTGAACCAAGATTTCTGTTAATCAAGCAAGAGGGGAGTGAGGGAGTGGAGCACTCAGTTTACCGGATGTGAAAGCTCAATAGAAAACTGGAGTTCTTGTGTGGTGCAATGGGGCAGGAATAAGAAGGTCCCCCAAAGGGGCCAATGTGGAGCCCAGCTACAGGCCAAAGCATGCAGACGCTTGTCAGGTGATAGGGAGGGACACGGGCTATGAAGGACAGACAGCCATTCAAGCAGTGGTGCTGAGATAATTCGTATCCCAAGGGGACCACGAAACACAGCCATTGACACTCCACACACAAAGCCAGTGTCAGACAGAACATGAAGCTTTTGGAAGAAMACGAACAGAACATCTGTGAGACTTGAAGTAGGGGAAGCTCTTAAACAAGAAGCAACAAAGCTCTACTATAAAGTCTGATTGATAAAGTTAACATTAAAATTGAGGACATGCGTTCATAAGAAATGCCACTGAAAACCTAAAATGAAGCAGGGTGCAGTGGCACGCACACACCGGCCAGGAGGACCGTCAGCTCAAGACCAGCCTGGGAAACACAGGGAGGCCTTATCTCATAAGTCGGGGGCTGGGGGTACAGCTCAGTGGTGGAACATATGCTCAAGGCCCCAGACTTAATTGAAAGGAAGGAAAAGAAAGAACAAGGTACAATTTGGGAGAAGACATTTGCCAAATGTATAACAGAAGATATCCAGAGGCTTTCGAAAGACGGATGATTCAACACTTAATTTAAAGATGCAGCCACACGTGGGATGCAGGCCTGTGACTCCAGAGACTCGGGAGGCTGAGGTAGGAAGATGGCCAGTTTGAGGCCAGTCTGGGCAACTAGGCAAGACCCTGTCTCGAAAAGGGCAGAGGAGGGAGCTCAATGTATTGAGTACTCCCGGGTTTAATCTCTAGGACACCCCCACCCCAAAATTGAAATATACACAGACAAAGAAAAATAACAAGAAATAAGAACAACAGCTTGTAGAACATGAAACCTACAACCAGAGTCTTAACATTATCAGTCTCATCATGATGTTATACCAAATAAATCAGTAAAGATGAAAAATTTGATAACACCAAAGGTCGTTAAGGATTTAGATCAACAAATCAATAGAAACTCATTAAGTAAATATAATCCGCATAGGAAACAAAGTCAAACATTTGCTTACTCCAACAGAGCTCTTTCTACTCTTAGATTGATATTCTAGAGAAATTCTTGCACATGAGTAGCAAGACACACACAGGAATGCTTAGGGCAGTAGGTTTACAATGGCAAAGACAGGCAGACAAGCAGGAAGAAAATGAAATAAACACTTATCAACAAGCAACAGACTAAAAATTTTGGCAGATTCATGTTATGAATTATAAAACACCTACACACAACATAAATCCTAAATGTAAGGAGTGGAAAATATAAATATAAGGAGTGAAAAACTACAAGTTTCAAAAGACTATCAACAGTAGGATTCCTTTCTTGTAAAATAAAATAATCTAAACACATTGTTTAGGGGTGCCCACATATAAGACTGTTTAATCAACAAGAGGCTGGTGTGCCCACACTTGTAGCAGGCAGGGAGCTGAGATGTGGAAGACACAATGGCAGGGGGGCTTCAGGTCCTGACTTGGGTGGTGGGTTTAAACGTGTCCACTTTACTATCATGATTCATGATCTACTGCCTTTTTTCTTTTGCATGAATCACTTAACATACCCTGAAAAATCAAGAGGTGTCACACACACAAAAATCCAGCCTGGGATCCTGAAAAGCCATGGTTCAGTGTAAACTGAAAGATGTGGGGGAAGCTAGAAGTAATTATTAGAATGTGTTGCTTTCCTTACCTAACACCATTTAAATGTTACARATTTGCATCTCACATCTAAATGCACTAATATTGCTACAATAAATCCCAAGACCAAGATCCTATTATACAGCAGTTTTTACTTTTAGAACTAACTTATAAAAAAAAGCTTGGAACTTTAATTATAACTTCAGAATACACTGTTATAAAATCTTAATTTTGTTTTAAAAAGTAACATAATTTCAGATACATCATTACAAAACCTTAAATTTGTCTTTTTTTAAAATTTTTTTGACTACATTGTAATTGTTATAAAACTTTATCCTAAAAGTAATATAACTCCTCAGAACACATTGTAAATGTTACAAAAGTTTACTCTGTAAAGTAATATAAAACAGGAATACAGAAAAGAAATACAAAAGGAGGGTAAGAGCAGGGAACTTTTGTTTTTCATGGGAAAAAGGTAAATACTGTCTGAGTTGATGCAGTAAGAAGTGGGGTGGATGTTCAGTTCTATTACCAACAGTTACAATGGTATTTAGGGAGGAAAGTCAATGCTGGCTGACAGATGTGAGGCACTGGCTGCAGGGAAGACGGACTCTTTTTCCCTGCGTGTATCCTGTACCGCACAAGTCCACATGGCTGCTGAGCAGGCACCTCTGCACATGGGAACAGAAGGTCCCAGCCTCACATGTCTCAGCTCCACAGCTAGAGGGGTGGCTTCTGAGAACACAGGCTGACTTCACATGACCAGAGATCCCTTAATTTTTCACAGGTTTAATTTTAACTCAGATGTTATTCAGAAACGCTTCGAAACCCAGGTCTAGGGTTTTAAAATTTACTTTTTAAAATCCTCTCTAAGCAGTAGAAATAGGAAGAT